GGGTGGGGTGGGGAGGAAGAGGAAGAAGTATGTACAGCCCGTCCGTCCGTCCAGAAACTCCTGCGTGCGTGCACCGGGGTGCAAGGGAGCCGAGCTCGAGTCCACAAAAAAGACAAAGACGAAACCAAAAAGAATCCTGGATATCACCACGAACGGGTAACGAAAAAATAACTCAGCGAAATGAGTAAGACCATGAAAATGAAAAGGAATAAAACGAGCCAGACAGAAGAGGAGATCGAGGGGAAAGAAGAGGGAGACATGGAATGGAGAAGTTTAAGGCGGGTGTGTGTGTATGTAAAAACTGGGCCGTGTAGATGTATGGACGTTCGTATGTATGTATGGGTGGGTGGGGAACTGTGTATGTGTGTATAGATACAATTGCAAGATTAACTGCGAGACGAGAGGAGACCGAGCACGGAGATAGAGGGAAGAAACCGATTCGATTTTTGAGAGGCGGGGCCCGGGGTGCGAGGAGAAGAGAGGAGGGGAGCGATGCGACGACGGAGGCGAGTTGTGCAGAGACAAGGCGAAGCGAGGCGAGGCGGATGACGAAGCGAGGCGGGGACAGGGAATGATTGCAGGGGTATGTATGTGTGTGTGTGTGGGAAGAGCATGTGTCGAGTACGGGATCCAAACGAGACGAGTACGAGCACCGAACGGAAGTATTGGGAACACGAGCACGAACACCGGATTTAAAAAAACAGAACCTCAGAACCTCAGAGCACGAACCCCCCACTTCCACTTCCACCCCTACAACACCGCCTACCCAACGACCCCCTCGCACCGAGCGGGTTCTGGGCTGGTGTGCCGAGTCTCTCCATCTGTGGGTATTCGCGGAGGCAGTATACGGGTATGCCGGAGAGACGCGGGAGGCGCGGGGGCCAGATTAGCATTTGGTGGTGCATTGTTTGTGGGGAGGGGGAGGAAGAGGAGGAGGAGTGGGGGAGGGGAGAGGAATGTGATGGGGAAGAGGAATGGGGAGAGGAGGAGGAGGAGGGAGAAGAGTAGGGAAGGAGGGGGAGTGAGGGGATGGTTATTGGTTGTAGGAGGTGTGTGTGTGGTGTGGACGGTGACGATGATGATGCCTCGTCATCGTTGTGTGTATGCGGGTACTCGTTTGTGGGGGACGAGAACGAGACATCAAGAATAGACTCATGCACACTGAGCACGTCCTCCCCATCCTCATCTATACTCTCAAACTCCTCATCATCATCATCCTCCGAATCAGTCTCCTCCTCATCCTCATCTTCAAGTTCAAACGCCATATCAACATCCACGCCCACCGATCCGCCGTCTTTGTCATCTGACGAGTGGTGGTGGAACGTCATGGGCGTGTATATCTCTAGCTCGAGGTCGTTTGTGGGTGGCTGGACGATAACGGGTGCGGGGGCGGACCGGCGTACGACCGGGTGGTGGCTGCTGCTATACCGCGCTTGCGCTTGGGCGTGTGCGTGTTCTTGGAGGATTGTCGCGCGGATGGCGGAGCCGCCGTACATCGAGACGCTAGAACGAAACGATATTAGGTTAGCCAAGGGTTCTCAGAAGTCCAGAAATATAGATAAACGGAAAGAAAGAAAGCAAAGCGGGCAAGGCAAGGAAGCCAAGCAAGGCGTCAGACGCGCAGAACAGACCAGCAGTGCAAAGTCAAACTTGGCAAGTGTGCGATCGGGGAGAACCCACGTAGGACAAAGAGGTAGAGAGAACCCTCGCACAGCGATTGATGCCATCCGCCCACAGACAGACGCAGACGCACCGCCACTGGGGCAACATCTGCGCAAGGAGGCAGCCACTCGACTGAACTGACTGACTGATGGCCGGCGCTCGAAGTTTCCCAAGCCACAGGATCTGAGCGGCATTCTTTGCCGCGAGACGAAGGGATATAAAGGAGCAGGAATTGGGAGCACTGTACCCCCGCTCCCCGCTCCCCTCCTTCTTTCTCGCTCTCTCGCTTTTTCGTTTCATTCCCGAAGAGACGGGCACATATAGGAGGCAGAAGAAGAAGAAGGATAATAACAGAATGAAGTAGACTCACATGTGATCAACACGTGTCCGGCACGCCATCTTCCACAAGGGCGGTTCGACGACTCTGTTTCGCGGGGGGAGCTGTATGCTCGCCGCAGGACGAGCAGCAAGAGCAGGCGTAGGTGCTTCTACTTCTACAGCGTCCGGCGCGAACGACGTCGCGAGGGGCGAGAGCGGTATTCTCGGTGGCGGCACATGAACGTGAACGTGTTGCTCGTGTTCGGGCTGGGAAGGCGGTTGTGGCGAGGCCGGTATAGGGCAGTGGGGATCGACGACGACGACGTCCGGAGAAGAAGAAGAAGAAGAAGAAGAAGCGGTGTACGTTAGAATGGCGGCGAGAGCCTGTTCGATGCTAGCTTGAATCGGATCTGCTTCGCTCGAGATGACCTGTGTGACTGTGTGTGGCCAAGCACGTCGATATATCAGCATTCGCAGCTGAGCGAACAAACGCGAGAGCGACTTACGAGACTGCTGGTCTGCGAGTGAGCCGAAGAAGGCATCGTCGTCTGACTTGGCACGCTTGGAGATGCGCGGGGCGTCGAGCGGCGGCTCGTCGTCTGCTGCTTTTCGCTTCGGGGACGCAGATGCGAGGAAGTACTCTGGGTTGTCTGGGGGCAATGCCGGCGTGAGTGCGGGCGCGAGTGTGACTGCGGCTGCGACGATGTCGATGGCGGCGTGCGTGAGGACGGCGCGGGGTGTGGCGGGGTCGGAGGAGGGCGGGGCGGCGGCGTATGCTATATCGAGCTGTTGAGGCGGGAGGCCGATGTGGGAGATGGGCTGCTGGACGATTAGGGTCATCGCGGACGGCGGCCGGGCGGGACTGGGGCCTGTGAGGCGGGTGTGAGTGTGTGCTATTGATTTGGTTTGCCGGATCAGGGCGATGGGTTGTGTGTGTGGTACAGTATTCTGGGGCAGGAAGGGACGGACGGCGATGGAGCAACTTACTGGACCGGGAAGACGGACTGGCGGAAGAACTAAAACGGGACAACGATTCTGTTTGTTGGGTGTGTTGTTTGTTGCCGCTCGTGTAGAGACGAGTTAGAGCAGCAGCTAATTCGAGCACGGGTGTTGGCTCGGATGAGACGAGAGTAGAGCACGGCAGCAGACGCGATGCGATTAAAGCGAGACAATCAAGATGGCCAGAAGCTGTCGCTGGCAGCACTGTTCTGGTCGCTACACACGCTGGAGTGTGTGCAGAGACTGCTGTAGTAGGGTGGTCTGAGGATGTGCAGATGACCCTGAGAGGACTTCGTGCCCAAAGAGATGGAGAACTCTGTTCGTGTGGACGGGGAAGGACGAGGCAATGTCGCTTGCGTGTCGCCAGCCAGACGACCAAGCTGCGCACATCAGTCAACAGCGTCACGTGCGCCTTTAGGGCGGGCTCTTGCGTCACCCATCGCCGCCTCTGGGCCCTGCGTCGTCGCTCTCTCGCTCGTGGCCATCGCTGTAGGGGACGCACTCACCGCTGTCCAGTACGCGCTCTCTGCACGATTGCGGCACGGCAGGCGGCGAGTGGGGGAGGTGTCGGGCGGCAAAGGAGAGTTGCGAAAGGGGAGAGCATATTGAGGCTAGGTACGATCGTAATCTCGGATCCAGAGCAGCGGTCGTGGCTTGGAATTCAAACAGATTCAGACTTGGCCAACAAATAACTCCCTCAATAAATTCATTCCTCTAATATCACTGCTCTGATCATCCAGCGACAAATACGCACCAAGGGATCATCAGATTCCCCATTGCACAAAACTCTATATCAGCCGCGTTTAGCTCCCAGAGGCACACCGCACCCCTCATTCTGTCCTCTATAGAGTATACACTGTTTATGCATAGTTCACGAATGCATCCGCCGAGTGCGAGTGACACACTCGGCTTCGCATGCCGTAAGACACTCCCTCCCGCACACCAGCACCACACACCGTGCCAGCAGTAATAAAACGAGGAATCTCGGCTTGGGCACTGCTTGGGCTGACATGTTCATGCTTCGCCACACGCATCCCCGGGAAGCCAACGCCGCAGCCACCGTACCCAATATACCCCACGAATGCTCGCAGCTTCCGACATCGCTCCGTTTCACCATTCATGAGTCCCATGAGGGCGTGCGTGCGGTAACGTAAGAGTGCGACGCATGATCTTCACTCGCTGTTGCGTTTCTATACCCAGCTTGCCTATCGCGGCTAGTCCCCGTCTGTCTGCATTGACACCTACCTCTCTTGGCCATCCCGAAGCGACGTCCCCGAGGTGCAACGCACGGGACATCTCCCACCCCTGTCGTAAACGTAGTCACCCGTATTCAAAACAGAACCATGTACTGTCCACATCTGGATTGCATGGACAGGACACACGCTGATGGCAATTACAGCACAATTTGTTCTGCGCATCCAGTGCGTTGGGAACAGATTTCGAGTCACCCGCCTGGGACCCGCCGTCCATTCCTGCTCTAAGCGCGCCGTTTCCTCGTCAACGCTTGCCTATTCCGGTCCTGCTTCTGCGATCTCCAATCAGATGACAGGCGCCATCCAACACCCCGCGGAAACTCTATCACACAAACTCGTGCCCGCCGTGCTTATTGAGCACTGCTGCACGGTGGAAGTTCTGAGGTTCGAGAGTCAAGGACACGAAAGAGAAAAATACTGGCCAACGCCGGGGTCGAACCGACGACCTTGGCGTATACAAATGTATTAGCACCACGCTCTAACCAACTGAGCTAGTCGGCCATGGAGGTGAAGTGTTTCTGTTTGCTTCTGTCAAGGGATGTGTTCACTTAATGGGAATCATCGTCTCTTTACTTGTTACAGATATTGAAGCCTGCAAGATAATCAAGGTCTTTCTCTCATGTGTGATGATTTTGTGCTTCGTTGCTTCCTCTGACCCGTTGCACCAAACGCGTGTACTGCAATTCTTAAGCAGATGGACCAGCATGATCATACAACACATGTATCGTTTGTAGCGATCATATTACGTCAAGTGTAAAGAGCATACATGGCCGACTAGCTCAGTTGGTTAGAGCGTGGTGCTAATACATTCGTATACGCCAAGGTCGTCGGTTCGACCCCGGCGTTGGCCAGTATTTTTTCTCTCCCATCATTGGCCAGCTTTTTGTTTCTGTCCACCTTCATCTTCATCTTCACCGCGCACGCCACCGTCAATCGCATTCACAGACGCACACAAATCCCCGTCCATCGGACCAACCCTACCTGCGTCTCGTCTCACACCTCGTGCTCCACATCAAGAGTCGTCGCACAGCGATATCCCGCATCAGACAGGTAATCAACGAAGTATGCATTCCGTGGAGCCCACACTGAATGAATCCTCCCTGCGTGCATGCTTCTGGCCTAACCGCCGTCGCCCCCGTTACACACCACGCAGGAAAAGGGGGGGCTCTCAGTATCACACAGGGAATGGAATGGAAGGAAGAGAGAAAGCCAGTTTCAGATCTAACATTATCGTACTGTAACTGTATATAAACAAAATCGTCCGTACATACAACTCGTGTCAATGGTAGGGTACTCTAGAATACAAAAATGTTCTCGTGCAGGCACATCGGGGGAGGGAGGGGGGGCGGGAATAATAGAACCGACAAGAAAGGGATCCGGGGCGTGCGTGGACGTGGAATGCCAAGAAAGGGGGTAGGGGGAAGTGATATGGTATCGCGCGTTCGGAGGGAAAGGGTGCTCATTACACAGAAAAAAAACCGGGGATGGGATCATTAAATTACCTAGTCCATACATGGTATACTACGCCTTCACACCCCTCATTACCGAGACGCAGGCGGCTGGTACGCGATATACGGATCGTCTGACGGCTGCTGCCCATGGCTGCTATACGCGCTATAATACGACGAATCCGTCGGCGCCGCGAAGTGGCCTCCGTCTCCGCCTCCGCGTTGTGCGTCGGACGGTAAAGAAGGCGGGCCCGAGGGAGGCGGGTACGTCTGTTGGTCTGGACGAGCGTATGTGGGCTGTTGTTGTTGCTGCTGCTGCTGCTGCTGGTTCGGGCGCGCGTATGAGGGCTGTTGTTGTTGGACTCGGGGCTGTAATGAGCTTGGCGCGGTCTGTGGGCTCGCTGGGATGCGGAGACGCGGATCGCTGTATGGAGACTGTCTCGACATCTGGTAGCTATCTGCTCCTCCGACTTGTCCCTGTACGTCCCAGGACCCATTCGAGCCGGCTGTGTTCTGTCGGACGGGCTGCGCCCTGCCGTCGACACGTTCGCTCATGGGCGGCGTCGATGAATTACTGGAAGGCCGAGCAGCCAATTTCAAGGGGCGTGTGGGTTGAGGTGCGTGTAGCATGGGATCTGGAGCGTAGCCGATTGCGTTTCCTTGAGCGTCCCATTGCTGGAAGCCAGTGGTCCGGAAGTTGGCGGTGAGCGGGAGCTCTGATTCAGACTTGCGACCATCGAACGCTACGGTTGAGACGGATTGAAGCCCGTTGGGGTTGCCGTAAGGGACGGTGTCCATCGCCGCTATCTTCGCTTGCCTGTGAAGATTCCATTAGAATCGAGCGGTATGTCCGTGGACAATTGCTGCTTACCTGGCCTTGCGCCTCTCATAGATGACCGCAGGCTTCACTTTAGCCATGGCATTGTATATGTACCACGCCGCGGCAATAGTCACCACAGTAGTAAAGCCAATCACGACGTCACGAATGATCGTGTCCTTCGTGCTTGTCCCGCCTGCCAAAGTCAAAAATAAGGTCAGGGTATGCCCTAAAACAAGCTACCGAAAGCACTTACCGGATTCGGAAGATTCCAGCGCGACACCAAGATACACGGTCAAGAACTGCTTGGGCAGCGACAACACCGCAGCGAGCGAGAATGTCCATATGCTCATACCACATGTCGAGAACACGGCCGTAGTGACTGAATCAAAATCGTTAAATAACCGATACTCCGCAAACACCCTTGGTAACCATCAACTCACAATGCCCCGGAATCGCACTAAAGCGAGCAATGAGCGCGATCTTGAAGCCGCCCTCGCGAACGACCTTGGCGAGGCAGGCGTACTGCAGCTTCGTCTTTTCGAGTTTCTCGCCTCGGGCAGCGCAGCAGTGCTTAAACGCGCTGTGATGATGATGAGAATCAGAAGTGGGCCTCGGACCGAACAGGATTTGCTGCTTACTAGAAGTTCGCAACTTCTCCGAGGAAAGTTCCGGCTGCGACGATGGCGAAGCCGATGCCAAGCCCCCACACGAGACCGCAAATGATAGCGAGGATTTCGTGTCCGAATAACTAGGGCATGCTCAGTCTACGCTAGTAAGACGGGTAGTTTGAAGCGTACTCACAGGAGGGAATGATATGACAATAAATATTGCGATGGGAATAAGCCATCCCCCTGGGAGGCTAACAGGCGAGGGTTAGCGGGGTGCAGATGACATAAGGCAGCCAAGCGAACAATCGTCGTCTCCGTTACGGGAACTGCGTGCGGCAGAACGCCATAGTACGTATGCCAAGCGCCCCATTCGCGGCGCAGCCACAAACCGCGCCACAGCAACGCAACGACGCCCCAGCAGCCCCGAACAGCGAGTATAGAGAGAAACAGCGGTACACACCTTTTCAGCTTGAGGGCGGAAGGATGTATCCAGTCTACAATCTGCTTGTGGTAGACAGTGAAAAGGATAGTTATCACGCCGATGATAAAGGCGATAACATAGTACCCTGGAACACACGGTCGTGAGACACAACGGTCAGAGGCGAGAGGTCGGATACGCACAAATATATTCCCTGCGCAGCCAGAACTTCCAACTCGCCATCGCCTTCCAGTCAACCAGGCTCGTCTTCTTCAGCTCCTCGGCCTCACTCGGCGTCGGACTTGGGGTTCTGGAGATATAGCGCATGTCGACGCGGACGTCTTCCGAGGCATTGTGCTTGTGTATGTCCGGGACAATAGTCGACTGGGATGTGTCGCTGTCGAGCGAGGTCTGTGTGCGGTAGGGTGCAGAGGGGTCGTAGGGAGACGAGTGGTAGTACGGTTGCCCAGGTCGACTGGCGTATTCCGGATACGTTGTCATGAAGGAATAAAAGCCTTAGAGTCGTCTAAGCAGAGCTGCGTAGTATAAAGGGCGTGAGGTAGAGAAAAAGGGGAGCGAAGACCGGCCGAGCAGTCGTGAAGAAGGAAGAGGTGCGAGAGAGAGAAAGAGAAAGAGATGTGTGTGGGTATGCGATGGCGACCGGTTCAAATGGCGGGGGGCGTGCTCGGATTGTCTGGCCTCTGTTTGTGCGGACGATTAAAATGATATGGACGAAACAAGAGGGACTTGTGGAGACAACCGGCGTCGTGGTCAAGGCAGTGAAGCAGTGCTTACTCCGGGCGTCTGTCTACTCGTCCAACAATGCTTTGTTCCCACGCAGCCTGCAGCGGCCTCCGTATCGTGCTTCTTTCCCCTCTTCGCACTCTGCTTTCCGCAGCCATTTTCGTATTGTGTGTCATGGGCGGGCAGGGTATCTACATTCTATGTCCTGCATTCGGCGCGGATGTAGGCGAGGTAAAGAAGGCTCGCCACAGGCGGGCATGTGCGGTGAACTCGTAATCACGACTCGGATGAAGTTCAAGGCTTGAGGGCTTAGACAAACATGCACGTGAAACCTTCCCCCCTGCTTGCAGTTTCATGGTGGCGATGACCACCCCGCGTAGAGGCGATTTTGAATATTATGCATGCTCTTGACACCTCCTGCTAACCCCGTCCGCATGGAAATACAATTCGCTCGCTTGCTGCGTCGTCACCGATGGATGAAACTAAGGATGATTACGTTCAAGTTCTGCTGCGTACGAATATCATAACATGGATTAACATTAACCGGATCTGTGGCGTCATCATTGTAGATGTTTTAGATCTATGGCTCTATCATCCGTGATTTCTTCATTTCACTCTTCCTCATGGTGCAAGACGACTTCCTTCCCAGTTTGCGAACAGATTCACAACTCAAAATCGACTTGTGAATGCCTCAAATATCGGTAGCACTAACATCGTGGACACCTGCCTTTTCTGGCCTGATGCACCGCCAGCGCTCCGTCGTGCGCATAATCCGCTGCTCGAGTCCGTTCCGAACTTGCGTACACCCGTCATGACTGAGGTGGCAATGGATGCTTTGGACGACTTTCCAGCGCACTCTGCTAGATCTAGAACACATGCAGAGATCACTCAAACATCGAGCACCTTAGAGCTCTCTAACTTTTCCGCGAAATCTAGACAATGCATTGAGCGACTATTGGCACACGAGGCGGATACCATAGACATGTGAGGGTGCCAATCAATATTGGGTTACAAGGTATTGACGTACCATTACAGAGCGAACATACCATACAAGAAGCGAGCCGCAGTGCTTATATTATTATACGAGAAGGAAGGCGACCTGAGGGTGCTGCTTACTACACGTTCCAAGACCTTGAGGGCCCACCCTGGCCAGACGGCGCTGCCTGGAGGTAAAGTAGACGACACGGACAAGGATGTCATAGAGACTGCCGTAGGGTTGACAGTCCTTTTATTTCTTCCACGATTCTGATGTGTGCGCAGTACCGAGAGGCCAATGAAGAAGTGGGCTTGCCGATGTATTCCTCGGATGTCCACAAGCTTTGTATCCTTCGGCCATTTGTCTCGGCATCGAAACTGCTGGTCACACCGGTTGTTGCCCTCCTTACGAACCTTGACCATCTAGACCGCCTCACGCCTTCAGAAGGCGAAGTAGACGTGATATTCGACCACCCTCTAGAAGCCATCCTTGATCCCCCATTGAGTGCCAAAGAAAAGTTGGTGGAAATCGGCAGCAGCGACTGGCCCGCCGAACAAGAATTTTATGTACGAAGCATTACACTACCCGCCGCGCCGACATACTGATCTCAAGCGCAGAATTTCACCGATTATGACATACAATGGCTGGGGAACACTGCGTACCGGATGCATCGCCTGCGCTCCAGTGCATCTGCTATCAAGGGCCTTACTGCGGAAATTCTCGTCAGTATGATTCTAACCGTCCAACACCAGCTGCTGATGCCACTGCGGCGTTGGCACAATATGCCATACACAGATCGCGACAGCTGTAGTTGCCTATGACCGCCAGCCATCGTAC